TTTGTTGTTGTGGAGAGAAAACACCCAAAAAAAAAAAAAAAAAAAAAAAAAAAAAAAAAAAAAAAAAAAAAAAAAAAAAAAAAAAAAAAGAATGAATAAATAAAATTAAATAAATAATTCTTAAAAAAAAAAAAAAGAGAGAGACTGTGTGCTGAGATGTGTTTTGATAGCATGATCATCCCCCTCTGCCCTTTTTGAGAGCCTTTTCCCTTCCAGTGGGCTCTGACTGGAAGCTGGGCAGAGCAGGCCTGCCCACAGAGGAATGAGCTCACCCACCTGGAGTTCCTAGCACAGGTGTCCCAGCGCTTGTACACCCTTTAGCCTCTTTCAAAGAGCATTCCGTTGTTACCTGGGAAGTGTCTTTATCAGCTTAGGGAGGGGCACTCGCTGGGCAATAAGGAAGAAAGCACACTCGATCTGATTAGGTAGATGAACCCTAGGGATGTGGTGGGAGACAGAATCAGAGCACCCTGACCCCCCTCCCCCCATTCATGCAGGAGCGGTTTCTAAGGCCTTACAGAGATCCATCGAGGCAGCACCAAGAACCACACTGGCTGTTTGGGTAGCACCGTAGCCCCATCCACACCTCCAGAACCCAGCATTTCTTTGAGCTTGGAAGGTGACGTCAGGGTTTGAATGACCTCGTTGGGAGTGTCTGAACAGTCATGATAGATCTCTTTGATACCTAGGAGTTTTGGATAGTAAAAACCTCCCCAGACATCTGCAAGCCTCTGGCCAATTGGGAATGCCCTTGGTTAGTGACTTTGTTACTGGGGGTAGGTAAAAACTTGTGATAAGATTGTGGAAAAGAATATAAGGGGAGGTATGGCCATTAGTTCCTGGGAGCCTGATTTGTTTGCCAGGGCCTGGCTGGTCAGAGGATGTGCCAGGGGTGTGGCACAGAAGGCTGTATTGACAAAAGTTTCTTAAATATTTTGCTTGGGGAGAAGTGACACTAGTTTCTCAGAGGAGCTACTGTCAATTACAAGGTCGCTGGAAATGATTTTCATTACAAACTTGACTCTGGCTTTTAGCAGTCAGATTTTTACTTCATGTGCATATGGTTGTAGAAAGATGTTGGAGATTCATGGAGATTTTCATCAGTTCACAACGTTTTCAGTCTCCCTGAGAAAGGAAGAAAGCATCAGATACATAAGATGGTCTTTAGATACGGAAGTGGACTGTAGGCTGCCGCTGCTGTTACTGGGGCTCTCCGGGCTGCCTTACCCCGGGAAGAACGACTCTTTACAAGGGGAGCCAGAGAAGTCCCCAAGAAATTGAAAGTAGTATATTAATGAACATATATTTTCAAAAAACAAGGGGAGACCGAAACTTGCCTGGGGTGTATAGTCATATGGACATTAAAAGATGAAAAATTGCTGCAGAATGGGGAGATGAGATTTGGGGAAGCCATACTGGAATGCAGTTCTTTAATAGGAGGGGGCTTGAAAAAGTTCTTGAAAAAATTGAACTGAAGTACAAGTTTATTTTAGTGAAAAAATATTTTGCAGTCTGTGAGTAGTTTTTCATAATATGCATTCTCTTAATGAACAGTTTAAGACCCTCTGTATGGAACAAGTTCTTGTTTTCTCTCTCTCCCTCCTCCTCAAGTTTAAAAAATAATGTTAATAATAATAAAAAATTTTTAAATGTTATCTATTTAAGGGGATTTAAACATGATACTAAAATGAAATAAAAAATATGGCTGTAGTTAAATAAAGTTACTTTTGTGTGGTCCTTAAAATTGACAAGGAGATAATAACAACTCTAGAAATCTCTCTTTATTCATAAGGAAGATCTAAGTCCTTGAATCCATGTTAAATGGGAACAGTTGGAATAAATCTTACATTTTTGAAAAGGTAGCTACCCTGCCTATAGGTTAGTCCTATCATTCCTTCCAGGTAATGGTTCTCTCCTTTTGGGAGGAAGGGATGAATGAAACTTCACCCATCTCCCCTCATGTGGCTGTTCCATATATGGTGTGGTCTACTCTGTACACTTTCCTTAATAAGTCTTCTTTCACTGTCCCTC